CAGGTCCCTTCCGACCCTAGAAACTATGAAACTATGCTTATGGGATGGGCCACCTACATTTACCCTTTCTAAGACTCACATGAGTAATTCTATTTCTTTGTCTAGGTGTTTATAGACTTGGACCCATAAATAGGAAAGCAATGTCTTACTGTGAAATCCAACATCATTTCCTCCAGAATGTCATCATACTCTTCATCCAGCATTTTCTGAAGATTGCTAGTAGACAAGGAACAAGAGACAAGCACAATAAAGGTTAGTTCCTGCAGTAGAATTTTTTGGGGAAAGTGTTTTCCTAATCTGGCTGATTAGATGTGTATAAACATATTCATAGAGTCCCCTTTGTGCCATATGATCTGCGATTGCCCTGCAAGCTTATTCTGCAGTGAGATCCGTATAGCAGTCTCCCTGCATGAGTACTGACTTCAGTGGCATTTCACGTAGGTCAATTTGCACTCAACTCATTGGAGGATAAGGGTTGAGTCACATGAGATGTTTACTCCAGAATAGTCTCAATTTACTGCTGAGGAAAAGTGGAGTGGACACATGACATACAGCATTTACTTCAGAGGAAATGCACTTTTCTAGTGTAAAGTTAACTTTGAGGAAGTCAAAAGTTGCCTGCAAAGGAAGTGACTTTGGTGTACATGTTGTGTGTCTGCTACCCAAAGCAATTTCTCTTGGGGTTGCTATTTGCTTAAGGCAAATTGACTTCCCTGCCATACAGTGGTCAGGTGTTATAATTGCACCTACTTCAGGCAACTTCAGAGAGTGCACTGCAAGTCTGCTCCTTACGACAAAGTAAATTTACTGTGGAGTAAAATCTAGAGGAAATGACTTCAGAGTAAACATTTAATGTGTCTGCATCCTCCAGACCTTGCACCCCAACTCTGCATGCATTGTATATGCAAATGACTTTAAACAACTGAATAATCCCACAGATGTTACTCGTGTGTGAACTGGTGCAAGACCAAGGCCTTCAACTGCTGAGTTTATAATGTTTAAGGACAGTGCCTTATGGACCAGTGGGATACTCTTGTAAACAAAATAAGCCGCCAAATAAGCTTAAAGGAATCACAATTGCAGTCATCCATCAGAGCCAGAACTAGAAACATACCTTCTGTGAACATCACAATGGAACATTGGTTCAGCATGGGCCTGAGATAAGGAAGGCTATTTACCAAGTTGCTACCAGCACTACTTCATATAACACCAGTCTGAAATCTCCTAGGCAAGGACTAGTCCAACGAAAGCCTTGTTCCTTAGATCTGACACGATCAAAGCATAAGGAAATGCTGCATTGCTGATCATGCAAGGCGGCCACAGTGAAAACACAGCGGAAGCAGAAAACCCATACAGCAGAAAAGTATTAGGAGAGAGGAGACGTTGTTTCAGGCAGGTCTAACTGATAGTCAAAAGTATTCTTTACCTATCCACCTGCAGTGATGGCAGTCAACATCCCCCTACTCTACAAATGACTGTTTTGGGGGGAAATCCTGACTCCATTTAAGCCAATGGGAGTTTTGCCACTGGCCTCAGTAAAGGCAAGGTTTTCCCCTCAGTCTCCAACCACTAGAGAATTACCCCTCTGTCAAGGGGTCACAAGGGGTCACTCTCACCCTTACTGTCCTACCCCAGGGCACAGGAGGCAGTTTCATCAGTGGAGCTGGAGGAACCCAACTCTTGTCCAAGTCTCCATCTCTCAGCACATGGGCTCCCAGGCTTGTGCCTGGATGACCTCAATTCAGCAGTGGATGGCTACACCATATCTACAACCGCACTTTTACCAGACACCAGAGCCACATCCTCAAGCAGGCTGCACTGCTTCAGGTGGCTACATTTGTTGAGTATTTCAGGCTAACTAATTAGTACTGCTAAGCTATGTTGCCAGATAACCTGCTCTCCCCTAACTAACCTGCCTGTGGCACTGAACAGATGCAGCTATAGTGTTTCTAGTCTAGGGAACAAGCTGTTCAGAACAGCACAGCATGCTTGAGGGGCACTTTGGAGCACAAGAAGTCACTGCTTAGACTGAACCTGGTGGAGTACTGATACCTGCAGAAATTAAATTCGTAATGTTTTACGCCCACATGCAAAGGACAAATCTGCATTGTGGCTTGCTGTGCAAATTCCTGCTCAATGGATAAACAGGATTCTGATTATGGGTCAAAAGCTGTTGACTCAACTTTTATTTTATAGCCAAAAGCTATGAATATACATATTTTTGTCATACCTCCCTTCTGTGGGGGACAGCTCTCTTAAATCTTCCAGACTCAGTGGGATACCCAGCATCTTCTTGTACAGAGCCAATGGGAAAGGAAAGGGAACTTTGTGAAAGTTAAACAGTGCCATTCCAGAGAGGATCCCAACCAGGTGAAAGACGTCTTGATGTCCTGGTACCTAGATTTTGAAACGAAAGAAAATGAAGATTTGAAGGACTTTAATATAGTGGGGAGGAGCTTTGGTTTAGAACAGGAGATTGGGTGTGTGGAAACTAGAGTGAAACTCAGTGGTCTGCTACTAAGTCCTTATGCAGCGATCAAGAATCCCTTCTCTTTGGCCAAACAGGGCGTGAGCTGCATAGTCAAAGACTTCTATAAGACCGTATTTAAAACAGGAGCTAGGAATTCTTTTTCCTAAGAGTCTGCATCCTGTTGAGACCCTTGCCAGAAACTGAGCTTGTCTGGTGCTAACTAGACAATGACTCCAAGGAAAATTGCAGCGTTCCTCACTGAAGGGGAAATAAATACTAACAAATGTGATGTGGGCTCAAAGTTATTAGGTGAAAGGCCAGCTATATGGAATTTTTTTTGTAAAGTGGTAACAAAGTAGGACCATCTGAACCCATACCTGGCTGGGGAACCAAATCAAATTGGAGCACTCAAAACGTCTGAATATCTGTGCTTTTGGTTCACATAGCTCCTTGGTAATGATCCGGAAGAACTCTCGAGACAAACCGCCACCATCTCTTCCTGGTTCACCACGAAATATCACCTGAATAATCCCAGAAACAGCTACTATAATTTCCACATTTAAACAATAACCTGTACTGGTTTACACAGTAAATTCTCAGCACTAGACTGTTACCTTGGGCCCAGTTCCTGTGATGAGAACACACTATGGACTAACAGCATAAGATTCAGCATGAAGTCTGAGCCTCTTCAGTGTGTCTACCTTGAACCATCATGGAATGGAGTAGATGGAAAAAAGCAAGAGGTACAAATTCCATCACAGTGTTGTCCAGATGTCATAACTCTCCTACAAGGTTCATAGCATTTGGTGTTTTTCCTAAAGTCCCAGATTCTGGAGTCTCATGAATCTCAGCCTTCATTGCACAAAAATAAGTATCTTGCTTTTGACTTGGAACGGTCAGTTTGAAAATGTAAACCCTAAAGTCTCCAAAGCCAGGAGGCATATACAAAGACTCTAAAGGTATTATTGTACAATTTTTTCTTCAAGCCAATTTCATGATTAGTTCAAGATGGAACAAAACTCCCACTGCCTTGAATGAAGCCAGAATGTCACCCCTCTAGCCTGGTGTTTTACACCCAAATGCAAATGACTACCCAAGGGACAAATCTGCTTTGTGGCTTACTATGAAAATTCCTGCTGTATGGATAAACATAAGACTGTGTTTCCAAAGTTTTTGGTCTAGCATCTTTCTGGAGGAGAAGAATGGGGTGGAGACACTGGCCATTCCAGAATGCTAAAGACACATCACCATAAGTGTCTACAAAGTTAACCTTAAACCTTAATTTATAAATGGTGTGATGCTATCTATTGGAAACATACAGGTGTTAGCACATTTTCATTTGATGCACTAAATAGTCAGCATTTTAAATTGTTCTTTTATATATTATACTGTGCTGTGACCATGTGAGTTGTATTTTTTACTCTTCTGAACAAAACATTGTACTCCCAGAATGTGAGCTGCTGAATACAGTTAGACTTCCTTCTTGTTGTTATGGAGATAAGAACAAATCACTTGTTCTTTTGGTAGTGTCAGAGTGATATTTTAGCCAAGATGGTACAGACATGATAAAATTGTAAACATCCATAAGTTGGCTGAACACTAAGACCCAGGGACTAAACGTAGACATCAGGTTTATGGCCCATTATATTATATCTTTAAAGATGAATTAGCAAATCTTATAGAAGACTGATATGGCAGTCACATAAACCAAAAAGTCTAAAAGGATCCAAGGAGATTTCCTCAGAGACATCTTTAATACATTCAGGTAGACTCTTTCCCTACACTATGCACACCTTTCTATCCATCACTCTTGAAGTGACCAATGGTCTTGGATTTTCTGAGACAGTCCTAAGTTTCATAAATATGGTATGGCATCCCCAGTGATTCCCTGAAGTAGGACTTTCATTTTCAAAACTGGTCCTGGATTAAGGCCAGACAGCACCCTAATCAAAAACAGCATTTGCAAACAATTGCACAGACCCCCAAAACACACTCATTGCTGCCAGTTTCACAGCTACTAATGACCAACTGTGTTGCATGGAGGTAGGAGGTGGGGCTCCCCTGCTCCTCTCTCCATGCCTATAGGCACTGTGGGTCAGGCCCTGGTTATGGGGTAGGGGACATGCCAGACCTTTTCTAGATCCTGCCTGCAAGAGGACACACTGCCCCCCATACATGCATGCATAAGGCCATGAGCCCATATGCACATGCACATGTGTCCATAACATGCATATATATGCACACACATGCACATTTGCATGTCACACGTGCACACGGGTCTACACACATGCGCATGCCCACATGCACAAACATACATCCATATGCATGTGCACATATGCTCACATACACACACATGTGCACACATACACATGCCCATGTGCGCACACACACGTACACACACGTGCATGTGCTCCCCTCCTTGTGTTCACAGCCCTGACCTGTTCGTTTTTCATTCAGGTACAAAGAATCCACCAATGAGCTGATCAATGAAGACCTGGGCATCACATACCACCACGGTGGATGGTATTCCTAACGTGACACTACAGGCAGCGAGGAAGATCAAGACTGAGCCTCCCCATCCAATGCGCGAGGAGTCAAAGCAGAGCTAGATAGCACTTTCCCAGAAAGCAAAGCCAGAGACCAGAAGGCTCACACATGAGGAGTAATCATGTTTCTGTCACTGCCTATGCTGACAGTGTTTGTCCTTGGCTGGCCTGTTTTATTCGGCCACCATGGATGAAAACTTCCCACAGGGCTGCACCAGCACAAGCAGCTTATGTTTCTACAGTCTGCTGCTTCCTGTTACGATCCCCGTGTACGTGTTCTTCCACCTGTGGACCTGGATGGGCATTAAACTTTTTAGACAAAACTAAGGCAGGCAGACAGCCCGAGGGCACTGCCCGGTGGTCTCATTGATCACAGGGCCTCTCTGCAGTAGTTGTGTAGCTTATCTTAGCTGTACACTAATATTATGTTCCACGTAACTGGAATAGTCTCTTCCTCCCTCACTCTCTCTCAATTGCATGGACCCTGAGGGACCAGACGTCCATCCTCAACTCCTTCTGTGCAAAAATGAAGTTTATTTCCTACCTATAGAGACTTTTTACCATCTTTAATTTTACCTGAGCCAGAAAAACACATTTTTTTTAGATTCCTTGGTTGGTCTAATAAAAGGTATCATCTCTGAACCAAGAGTTCTATATTTTTGCATCACGCTCCTCCTGGCACTTCACACTGATCTTCTACAGAGGACTTTGCGTATGACTGTTTAATTTCTGTCAGGAAAGATAATTAAGTGCATTTGCCCTTGTCCCTCAAAATCCAGAAATGCACTGTAATAGTATAAAAGCGTATTACAGTGGGTGTTTGTTTTTGCCTTGAGTTACTTTATGCACTGAGATATAGTTTAATTACTTTACTGTTTATTATAACAACCTGGTTATGTGGGCTGCTCTTTAAAGATGGCAGTGTCCATCTTTAGGTGCCTCGCTAGGTTGAGCAGATTTATTCATGAAATGCTTCTGTCACTGTGCTACGAAAATGCAGTGTAATAAATCAAAACATTGTGCAACAGCGAACTTGTCTGTGAGATTTAGAATTATTAGGATCAGTGCAGCCATATTTTGAGGGCAGTCATTCATGCACATCCAACACAGCACACCTTTGATTTTAGAGAGAAAAAAAAACAAGGTGGGTCATCCATGTCACTCCAATATGATTGCCCCCTACATTAGCAGGCCTGGCACAACTATTCAGGCAAGAAGTGCCATGAAATAGTAGTTTGGCAGCTGCTCTAATTTATTCCAGCTGGCAGGGGCCTATAACAGCTGACAATAAAGCAACAGGCTTAACCATGCCCTCTAACACTCCTTCTTGCTTGCTTTACATTGATTGAGGAGATATAGTACTGGGAACAAGTCAGGTTTGGGCATCTGACCCACTGAAGCGCCCACTGCTCTAGGCAAAAACACAATCCAGATAATTCTAATCTGAGCAGACTTTTCTATCTTTTGATACGCTGCTTAGTGAAGCAACAAAACCATAGGCAAGGTATTGTGGATATTTACTGTTGTGGGGCAGCAGGGTCAGTATCTTAAGACAGGGGAAGATGGGTGACTGCCAAAAGGAAGTAAATAGGGCCACATGAGTTCAGGTATTAACCAGTTCTTGGTGAGATGAGTCTGAGACCAGAGACAAAAGCCAGAGTACTCCACCAATCAGCGCTTCTATAACATGAGTCAAGTGTGTAGCTCCTGATCTGGCAGCGAGGTGTATGTGCACCGCTGGGACAAGGCAGAGCCCCATTACCATCCTTCAACCATATCTCACTTCAAGAGTAGGGCCTTACTCCTCAATCACCTCCTTGTTCTTCTAGGATATTTGTTTTTTGATCAAGACAGGTGGGACTTAAAATCTGCTATTTAGCTACATATTGTTATGCCCATGCCGTGACCCCAATACACCTCATTTTTGTTGTTCAGGGACCAGCTACAAGAAGTGAGACAGCAGTTCAGTCCTTGTAGAAGTCAGTCATTGGCCTATATCCAATTGTGGAGAACACTTTGTTGGCAAAGACTAGTGTTTTGTTCATCACCTGTCATTTCACCTCTAGGAAAGCACTGCAGAGCCATGAAAGAAGTGACACTTGCTTATCCATTATCAATTTAGCTAACCAGTCCTATCTTTCAAAGTGCTTTCATAATAAAAATAAGTCACCCTGTCTTTTGCTGGCTGCTTTTTGTTATTTGCCCTAAGGCCACATGGAACATGCTTTTAAGTAGCTGGCACAGTACTTTCTCTTTCCATTACAAGTGAAAGGTGTACATGAAGAATGGTCGTTCCTTAAGGATACGATCCTTGAAGCACAAAGCAAGTTCAGTCCCATGTGGAGAAAAGGTAGCAGGAGGTCTGGGAAGCCCTTTTGGCTAAACAGGGAAATCATGGTCCTCTTAAGAAAGAAGAAAGAGGTTTATAAACACTGGAAGCTCCAAGGAGGACTATACAACAATGGTCCACACTTGTAGGGAACAGATTAGAAAGGCAAAAGCAGTAACTGAATTTAAATTAGCAATGGGAAGCAAGGACAACAAGAAGTCCTTCTTCAGGTACATAGGGAACAGGAGGAAAACAAATGAGAGTGTGGAGCCATTGCTCAGCAACTCAGAGGGACTCTTCAGTCTGAAAAAGAGAAGGTTGAGAGGGGACTTAGTAGCAGCTTACCACTACATTAAGGGAGTACATCAAGGGCTCGGTGAACAACTGTTCACCAGGACACCCTTGGGGAAAACCAGGAGTAATGGCCACAAACTCCTAGAACACTGTTTCAGGCTCAACATTAGGAATAACTTCTTCACAGTCAGGGTGTCCAGACTGTGGAATAAGTTCCCTACAGAGGTGGTGCAATCGCCTACTCTGGAAATCTTCAAGAGGAGACTGGATGATCACTTTGCTAGGGTCCTTGACCCCAGTTATCTTTCCTGCTTGGTGCAAGGGGCTGGACCCAATGATCTTCCAAGGCCCCTTCCAGCCTTACAATCTATGAATCTATTAATCTAGTTTTTTACTGGATTTTAAATGCTGCTGAATTCTGAAAAAAAAGATTTAATTGTTGGTTGTTAATTATATTGAGGGGCTGAAGCAATCCAGGACAATACACTCAGAGCTAATCAGATAATAAACCTTGATTTCTTACTTTCAAAGGTCCCCCATACATTGTAGGCACTCTGAACCTTAGAGTCTGCAAGGCATCATTCACCAGGTGTTCTCTTCTAATGTGCAAAACCAATGGATTAGTGGGTCTTGAAAATTGTACCTAAGGGGGAAAAACCCAAAAGCTGTGTTTTATAAACTTTATTGTTAATAATCTTTTAATATCTTTATTTTTAATAATAAAAACATGACTTCACCAGTACCTACCCACTGACAGGTCACCTTGTGAACCTCAATCTTATTTTTCATGTCAAAGATGCATGGGTACTTTGTCAGCTTTTGTAAAATCACCTGAAATTACAAGATAGGTAAGTAGCTTTTAATATGAGAAATGCTGACATTAGAAGATACCAGTATCAAGGTAGCTTCCCAAAAAGAACCTTCACAAATGGGGTTTCTTTTTCAATGCTCTCAAATTTTAGTGGTAGACATTATTATAAAGTACATTAAAATAACCAGTTACAGTGGACAGTGAGCGTAGGTTGTAAATACAATCACACTAACGTGCTTTTATGGATTTCACCCAGACTAGAAAACATGCACGATACAACCCAAGTCTCTGAAAAGGGAACCACTTTATAGGTAATTTCTAAAGCAAATTTGCAAGCACGTCTAGTATGGAAAGATCTGAATGGTACCACATATTCAACAAGGACAAGTGCAGAGTCCTGCACTTAGGACAAAACAATCCCATGCACCAGTATAGGCTGGGGGTTGACTGGCTGGGCAGTCGGTTCTGTAGAAAAGGATCTGGGGATTACAGTGGACAATAAGCTGAATATATAAGCCAGCAGTGTGTCCTTGTAGCAGGCTAACTGGGCTTAATTAGTAGAAGCATTGCCATCAGATTGAGGGAAGTGATTATTTTTCTCTATTCAGCACTGGTGAGGCCACACCTGGAGTACTGTGTCCAGTTTTGGGCCCCCACTACAGAAAGGATGTAGACAAATTGGAGAGAGCCTGCAGAAGGCAACAAAAATGGTTTGGGGTCTGGGGCACGTGACTTCTGAGGAAAGACTGATGGAACTGGACATATTTAGTCTAGAGAAGAAAAGACTGAAGGGGGGATTTAATGGCAGCATTCAACTACCTGAAGGGAGGCTCAAAAGAGGATGGAGCTAGACCGTTCTCAGTGATGACAGATGACAGAACCAGGAGCAACAGTCTCAAGTTGCAGCAAGGGAAGTTTAGGTTAGATATTAGGAAGAATTTTCTCACTAGGCAGGTAGTAAAACACTGGAACAGGTTACCCAGAGAGGTGGTGGAAGCTCCATCTTTGGAGGTTTTTAAGACCTGGATAGACAAAGCCTTGGCTGGGATGATATAGCTGGGCATGGTTCTGCTTTGAGCAGAGGGCTGGACTAGATCAGTGTTTCTCAACCTGTGGGTCATAGCCCAAAAGTGGATCACAAGAAAGGGTCATAAACAAATTTTAAAAATGGATCAACAAACTCAAATGGATTCTCCTTTAAAGGAGAAAAATGTGGGAACCTCTGGCTTTTCCCTTGCAGGCTGACAGAGTTCCAGCCTGCAAGGGGCTGCTTGGTCCCCCCCATCCTGCACACTGGGGGGCTGGGGCCTGGCGGCAGCAGCTCAGGAATGAGGAGCACTGGGTGAGGACTGGCCATCAGTGTTTACAAATGGGTCAACATTACAAAAAGGTTGAGAATTGCTGGACTAAATGACCTCCTGAGGTCCCTTCCAACTAGGGGTGCACTGATAAAGATTTTCTTGGCCAGTAATGATAGCTGATTATTCACCAGGCATATTGGCTGATATCCACCTGATAACCGATTTACAGGATTTACAGGAATGCAGCCAGGCAGTGTGGCAAGCAACTATGTGCAGGTAAGTCTGTGGAGGGGAAGGGGCATGGGGGGATTGAGGCTGCCACAGTGAGGGAGGGAGTGGGGCAGGGATGCTGCCCATTCAGGGCAGTGAATGGGACCCAGGACTGGGGTGGGGAGTGGGACAGGTCTGCGGGCAGCTCATCCAGCAGATCAGTGCCCCAGCGCTTAAAAATGGCAGTGGGGTACTTGAACTAAAGCTCGTCAAATGAACTTTAGTTCAAGTGCTGCTGCCGCCATTTTTAAATGCAGGGATGCTTTTAACCGGAAAAGAGCTGACCAGGGCAAGGGTAGATGTGGGCTCCTCACAGCAGGCTCAGGGCTGTCTGCCCTGCTGTCTTTGCGTTGGGAACCCTGTACTGTGCAAGTGTCCCCTGCACAGAAGTGGCACCCCTCGCCCACAGGCACCTGGCTCAGGCGGTCCTGGGGGCACCGCAGCTGTGGAGGGAAGCACCAGGTCCCTGTGCAGCTCAGGAAGGCAGGCAGGCAGGCTCCAGGGGGTGGGGAAAAAAGATCAGGCTCGCTGCTTTTCTTGGGTGGAGCCTGCTTTCCTAGGCCACTGCTAGGCTGCCTACAGGGCTTCCTGCAGAGCCATGGAGCTGCATGGAGCCCAGTGCTTTGCTCTGTGTCTGTAGGGGCAGCCAACTAAAACTCCTCGAAGGAGTTTTAGTTTGCTGCGCCCCAAGTCATTTAAGGCTGATTACACTGCCGAACTTCCTACAGTGGCTGGAATTAATGTGCAATATGCCACCGAGGTGTGCAAACACCAACACCATTAAAGTGGTGCAAAAGCATTTAGCCTGCTTTAAAGTGTCGTGCATACACGCCTCTCATTTTGTCTACCCACGGCCTAAGAACCCGTCTCTGCTCCTAGTAAGTTAATAATGAAAAGGCACCCAGATGTGTCAATAGGAAAAGGACCACGCTCTGCATGAGCTATCATTTAACTGCTATAACACAGGTAAGAAAGGAAAATATTAAAGGGATGTTGAACACACACCATGTTACAGCTGAATTTTACTATTCGATTTTGTACAACATGCTGCAATATTCCCCCTGCTTCTGCTAACCTGTTAGACAAGCTACCTCCTGCCCAATGTCCCTTGTAGGAATTGGAAGGGGCAGTAACTGTTTCTTGGGGACACCATGAAGATGCTGGAGGAACCAGTCAGTCTCAAACCCCAGTGAAAACTAAATTGATTTAAGAAGTATGTAGACCAAGACATGTGGCTAGGCCA